ATAGAGACAGAAAGCAAGACATCACCCCCCAGGGGGGATGGTCACGCCGCAATCCCTTCTCCTCCATTCTCCTCTTGGGATCTTGGGCACGCACACACACGCGCCTGGTGTGAGTTCTAAGCCACCGGGTCTGGGATGCAAACCACGGTCGACTACGTGGGAGTCCAGCGACATAGCCATTATGCTAACTGCTGATTCCCTGATCGCTATTTTCTTTATGCCTTCAAATACACTGTTGACAAAAAATAATGGGAATTTTCTAGGTTTGGTAAAAATTATTTCAAAGTCTGGCAAAATGTCAAACGTAATTAGAACAAGAAAATAGCAAAACTCTAGTAATCACTATCTGAGTTCTGGACCCAGTGACTTACTACGTCCCATGTGCTCGTGTGAACGTGCTCAAAATCCTGACAGGAGGATGGAGGAGAAGGGATTGCCACGTAGCCATCCATCCTGGAGGGTGATTTCTCACTTTCTGTTTCTCTGTCTCCCCAGCGAGTGCACGCGCCCAATAGCAAAATCCTCACCAAAAAAAAAAAAAAAGTTGAAGCAACAGAACAAAAATATATACGTTTAGGAGTCTGGACGGTGGTGCAGCAATAAAACGTAACACTTTGCATCAAGACCCTATTGGGGTGCTGTCTCTCTGTCTCTCTTGCTCATGGAAGAAATAAACTTACAATAAAATAAGATATGCCTAACTTGAAGGAGAGTGATGCACAGATAATTACTAAACCAGTTTCAGTACAGATTATTTTTCTGTTCATTATAACTCAGAATTTACTATCATTTGAAGGGATTTAACTAAAGATAGGAATTTAAAAGACTCTATCTCCCACTACCTCAACGGAGTGAAGCTTTTCCAAATTAAAATGAATTAAAAACTTGCCAAAAACCACATTAACTCAAGAAAGATAGTCTTTTTTTATTTATTTTTATTTAACTTATTTTAATTCGACCAGAGAGGGACAGAGTGAGAGAGAGAGAAAGAGAAAGTGAGAATTTAAGAAAGCAGACTGCGGGACCAGCAGTTAGCGTAATGGCTATGTCACTGAACTCCCATGTAGTCAACCACAGTTTGAGTCCCAGATCCAGTGACTTAAACTCACTCCGGGTGCGTGTGCATGCATGCCCAAGATCCCGAGAGGAGAATGGAAGAGAAGGGATTGCGGTGTGGCCATCCCCCCTGGGGGATGATTTCTTGCTTTCTGTCTCTCTGTCTCTCTCTCTCTTTCTGGCAAGTACACGCACCCTATAGCAAAAACCTCTCAGAAAAAAAAAAAAAAAAGAAAGAAAGCAAACTGCCAGGTCTGAGACTCAAACTGTGACTGGCCATGTAGGAGTCCAGCACCCTTTACCATGCCACCTGTTGGCCCCAAAAGATTGTTTTATTTGGCATTTTGTCAGTAAAATTTGTGTTACTTGAAAATGTTGAGTATCAGAATATATAATCAGTGCACCGGAAATGAAGAAAAGAAAATTTATTTTATGGAATTAAACATAATTTATGTGTGTGTGTGTGTGTGTGTGTGTGTGTGTGTGTTCGCTTTTCCGCCATCACTGGCTGAGCACCAGATAATCCAGGCATGTCAGTCATAACTAAGTCATCGTGATGGTTGATGAGCTTGCCAGCAGATGAAAACCATACCCTTACAGTATTTTTCAAGATGTAACATTATGGAGGTTCCTAAGACAGCAAACACAAAGGCCAGGCAATGACACAGCAGTAATGCAACTGGTCCCATATGGGAAAGGTCCTGGGTTCGTATCCCATGATGTGGGCCAGCCGAGACTAAGGGGTATCGCAGCATGGCGACCCTGTTAGGTTCTGTGTATGTCTCTCTCTCTCACTTTGTCTCAGAAGAAATAAATAAACCTTTTTTGTCCCCCAGTTTTTGTTACAGGTCATGTGCATTTATGAGAATAGAGGGGCAGTGAAAAATCACCCCCTGAGGGATGGCCATGTTGTAATCCCTTCTCTAGCCTCCTTGGGATTTGGGGCACTCGAACATATGCACCCTGTGTGATTTTTAAGCTGCCAAATTTTGGACTCAAACCCCACAGTTGGCCATGTGGGATCTAGCGCCTTAACCTCCATGCCATGGACTGGGCCAGAAATAAAAAAGCTTTAAAAAGAAAAACAGCTATCATAGAGTCCAGCAATTCCTCTCCTAGGTGTATACCCAAAGGAAATTAAATGACCACCTCATAAAGATACCTGCACTGCCATGTTTGCTGTAGCATTATTCACAGTAGCTAAGTTACAGAAACAGAGTATCCAGCAGCTACACGGATGGATGGATGAAGAAATATATATATATATATAATTAATTGCGACTCTGCCACAAAAAAGATCTTGCCATTTGCAACAGCATGGATGAACCTAGAAGATACTATGCTAAGTGAAATAAGCCAGACACAGAAAGGAAAAATACCACGTGATCTCACTTAGATGTGAAATCTTAAAGCAATAATAATAAAACTAATAAGACATAGAAACAGGAATAATACAATTACTAGGAGGAGCAGCTGACGGCGTGGTAGTTAAGTGGGCTGGATGCCACCCACATGGCCAGCCACACACCATTTGAACTCTGGACACAGTGGTGTGAGAAACACGCCAGGCGTGGTCTGCTTGCATGCCCAATATCCCTGAAAGAAAGAGAGATGGAGAAGGGATTATGGCATGACCATCCCCCATGGGAAGTGCTTGCTTCTGGCTGCGCCCCCACCTTCAGTGAGTACAAGCAATCTGGCGAATTAAAAAATATATACAGTTACTAGAAACATGAGGGGCACAGGATAGAGAAATGAGAAGTTACAGGTCAAGTGTACAAAGTTGCAGTCAAATAGGATAAGTCTAAAGATCTCATGTGCAGCATGAAGACTACAGTTAATTCTGTGTACTAGAAATGTGCTCAGAGATTTTAGGTACTCTTTTTTTAAAAATAATTATTTATTTAATTTTATTTATTCATTCATTTATTTCTTAATTTGACCTGAGACAGAGGGAGGGGAAGTGAGGAAGCAAGCCACAAGGTCAGGGACTTGAACCGTTTTCAGCCATGTGGGAGTGTCCAGCGCCTTAACCACCACACCACCCACTAGTCCCTGAGATTTTAGGTACTCTTAACCACGTTACTGATACAGTAATCATTTTACTATGTATATATATATCAAAACATGTATACCTTAAATATAGCGAAATGCAAGAAAAATATTTTTCAAGATACATTTACCATGGTATTTTATTTTTAGAATTGTTTATTTTATTATTAATATATTTTTCTAATTTGCTATAGGGCACATGTGTTCTCCAGAGAGAGACAGAGAGAAAGGGAAAGTGAGAAAGCAAGCCGCTAGGGCCGGAACTCAAACTAGTTAGTCATATGGGAGTCCTGCGCCCTAACCACCACGCCACCTGTTGGCCTCTCACCACAGTATTTATGTATAGCTTCTGCATAGTAAAGATGGCGTGTGAGCCACCCTTGTTTTCACATTCTTGTCCTCATCCCTTGTAGATGTTCAGGGTGGGCCTGCCGCTGAAGATGACTGGGAGTCCCTCCTTATCTGGCAGGTGAAGGGTGGCTTTAATTGGCTCTTCCCTGACTGAATGAGCTGGAGCATTTTGCATTTGTTTATGGCTCCTCCCCTATGAACTTGCCTATTTTTAATCCTATCCTCATTTTATTTCTCTTAGGTGTTTGGTCATCTTATCAGCCTTAAAAGTCATCCTCTGTGTTGGAAAAGGAAAAAAAAAAACAAAACCTGAATCTGTTGCTTTTACTTTGCATTCACTTTCTTTTTGGTATTTTTGCCATATAAATTATAGCTCCATTTTTGTAATCAGGACATAATTGCAAACAATTTGGAAATTCAAGTGATCTTAAGCTCCACACTGTTAATTGTGAGAGTGTTCCCCATCTTCAGCCTGTCACTTTTTTCTGTTTATTTTTGGCAGAAATTTGGGAACCGTGGGTGCCGTTGCCTTGGACTCCAAAGGAAACGTAGCTTATGCAACTTCTACAGGCGGCATCGTTAATAAGATGGTTGGCCGAGTTGGGGACACACCGTGTGTAGGTAGGACTGAGGCACTTCTGTTCTTCCTTGTCACCAGCTTCTCCTCATTCTCTGTCTCCGCCCGTCTCTCTCTCTCTCTCTCTCTGTTCTGTTTTGTTTTAAGGTTTTAGCCATAGCCTGCATGCATTTGCCAAAGAGAGAAAGAAAGAAACAGTGAGAGGGACAGTGAGAAATCGCCCCCAGGGAGGATGGCCACACCACAATCCCTTCTCCTCCATTCTCCTCTTAGGATTTTGGACACACATGCATGTTGCTTTTACTTTGCATTCACTTTCTTTTTGGTATTTTTGCCATATAAATTATAGCTCCATTTTTGTAATCAGGACATAATTGCAAACAATTTGGAAATTCAAGTGATCTTAAGCTCCACACTGTTAATTGTGAGAGTGTTCCCCATCTTCAGCCTGTCACTTTTTTCTGTTTATTTTTGGCAGAAATTTGGGAACCGTGGGTGCCGTTGCCTTGGACTCCAAAGGAAACGTAGCTTATGCAACTTCTACAGGCGGCATCGTTAATAAGATGGTTGGCCGAGTTGGGGACACACCGTGTGTAGGTAGGACTGAGGCACTTCTGTTCTTCCTTGTCACCAGCTTCTCCTCATTCTCTGTCTCCGCCCGTCTCTCTCTCTCTCTCTCTCTGTTCTGTTTTGTTTTAAGGTTTTAGCCATAGCCTGCATGCATTTGCCAAAGAGAGAAAGAAAGAAACAGTGAGAGGGACAGTGAGAAATCGCCCCCAGGGAGGATGGCCACACCACAATCCCTTCTCCTCCATTCTCCTCTTAGGATTTTGGACACACATGCACATATGCCCAGTGTGAGTTTCAGGCTGCCTGGTCTGGGACTCAAACCATGGTCAGCCATATGGGAATCCAGCACTTTAACCACTGCTGGCCTGTCATCTCTCTTTTTTTTAACTTCATTTCTTTTCTCCTTTTGGTGGTAGCTTCAGAATTTCTGGGAGTGGCAATTGGGGTGGGAGGGCTTACTGAGGACATTGCTTTGAGAGTGTCCGTATCCTGCGGGCACTGCTTCTCCTCGACTCCATGCCTTTTGGGAAGGACTTCAGGAAGGAAATGGAGATGGGGGATGGTAAAAGTGCCCCAAGCGATCCTATAGTGCCTCTGCCTTCTCTTTGGCCCCAGTTTCAGGATCTGCAGACTTCCTCCCAAAGGAAGGAAGTACACAAAACCTCTTCCCAGACACAGGCTCGAATTGACCATCTGAGAAAGCCGAGAATCTGAGTTGGCATTTACTAGACTAGAGTGGCATGAAGTGGCACACATCCACCCAGATGTCATGGATTGACATGAGAGTTACGGCATTAGCTCATTCTCAGGAGGAGGGAGTGGCAGGGTGGGGTGGCCATGTACGTCCCACCCTGTGCAGACTGTCCATCTTTTCTCATGCGAGCCCCCACTAACCCTGCAGATGATTGAAGTTTTGAGAAACAACAAAATTGTTTCATCCGCCAGAAAGAGCAGCTCATACTTTTAGTGGGAAGATAACCCTTCCCTACCTCTTGAATTTGTTCCCCTGATCCTTAATAATAATCTGTACTTTTGATAATGCTTGGTACCCTTTATTCTGTTATTAACTCAGAGGAGACACTTGAAGTTTCTTAAGGAGTAGAGGCTGGATAACTCACCCCAGAGATAGGAAATCATCTATGTTTTATTCTCCATAGCATCCTCCTACTAAAACATGCCCAATCACTAGTGCAGCTTGCAGCCAGCAGGCTTCAGACTGGGCTGCAGGGCTGCCCCAGGTCTGATCCTAGAAACTGATTTTGAGCTTGCTACGTGACAACGAAGAGAAAAGGCACAGTCTAAATTCTTGCAAGTCCTTGCCTTGGTTAGGAGGACTAGGTGTGCCCTTGCGTGGCCTTTCTGATGAGCCCTCCCCGACAGGTGCTCCCGCTGGCCAGAGAGGGCCCTGCATGGGCAGTCAGGAGGGCTGCAGCAGTCACCTCGGGCAACGCAGTTGTCATCTTGAGAAACACACAGGAGAGGGGCTTCACAGTCCTGCCCATACCAGGGTCACCTTGGCCTTTCATGGTCCTAGAGTAACTGGAAAGAAAACAGAGACATGGCTGCTTCCAGATATGAGCGCCTTACCAACACCACGAGGTCTGGCCAGTTGGTCCCACACAGAAGCTTACAAGACAGAGGAACAAGGCTGCCTTCCGTTATGGTCATTCACATTCACTTCTTAGTTTCAGCTCCCTCCAGAACCAGAACTGGAACGAGGGTGTCACCTGCCTTTGAGAACTCTTGAGATCTTGTGACATTTAGCCCAACATCCCAACTCCTGAGCCCTTTGCCCATACCCACCGTCAGTAAATAAGACAAACCGCCATCCATCATACCGTGCTTCTGTGTGTACTAGGGAAGAGTCAAGGTGAACCCTGTCAGGCAGGGCCAGGGGACCCCATGGGCTGGTAGCTGCATGTGAACAGATAGAGAAACAACGGAGAGAAGGCTGTAAGGTTGCTTGACCCCAGACCAAAATAAGGAAGAAATCTTACCAAAGTAGATCTAGGCCTTGCCTAGGTGGCCCGGTCCGTGGCATACTGGACTGCAGTGCGGGTTACCACCTGGGTGACTCTGGGTTTATATCTCTGGGTCAACCTGGGTGCCCGGGATCCTCAGGAACTGGAAGTCTGGGGAAATAGATCGCATTGTGGCCAGGACCTGGCGAGGGTCTGTCTCTCTCTCGTACATGCACATACTATCATTTTAAAATGTGGTTTCGTTTTCAGCCCTCTCCCACTTCAGTGGCTAAGCCTGAATAGCTCCCTCAGATAAGCTACCCTCAACAAGTAGAACTGCCTTTCCAATGATAGGCTGGTGTGCGTGGATGTTAGTTTTGGGTGCCTCAACTTTCCTAAAATCACTTGGATATGGCAGCCTTCCTAGGGATCCACGCAATACGGCCATGGTGGTCTTCCTTCATAGTGTACGGAGGAGATGGGGGTGGTGTCTTTGGGCAGAGGAGGGGCTGCCCTTGTATGATGCTCTGTGAAGGGGGCGGGGGACTCCTTCCCCTGAGGCTCCCTCCTTCCTCCTGGATTCCAGGGGTTTACACAGCACTTCCTTCCGCCTTCGCATCCACCCAGTCATGGCAACTACTCTGACCTCTGTCTACACTTTGGCAGTCTTTGGGGTTTATGTCACTTTAGGCTTGTGATAGGTTTGGATTTCTGAACTGTTGTAGGTGCTGCTCAGCTAAAACCCGTCACCTTTCTTGAACAGGATCTGGAGGTTATGCTGACAATGACATTGGAGCCATTTCCACCACGGGGCACGGGGAAAGCATCCTGAAGGTGAACCTGGCCAGGCTCACTCTCTTCTACGTGGAACAAGGTACAGAGAACACAGAACAGCTCCATTGTCTGTACAGACGAGGACACAGGAGCTACTTGATAAATAGATGGAAAACTCTATAAAACCTTTTCCCATTGGCTACGGTGTCGCTTTTAGGTTTTAACAGTTTGATTTCTTCCCTATCCTGCTGGGATCTGGAATGGGAGCATTTAGAATACTCCGACTGGGACCAGCAGATGGCTTAATGGTTATGTCGCTGGCCTCTCATGTAGACAACCGCAGTTTGAGTCACGGATCCGGTGGCTTGAAACTCATGCCGGGCATATGTACATGTGTGCCCAAAATCCCAAGAGGAGAATGGAGGAGAAGGGATTGCAGTATGACCATCCTCCCTGGGGGGTGATTTCTCACTTTCTGTCTTTCTGTGTCTCCCCAGCAAGCACATGTGCCCTATAATCTCTCTTTAAAAATTAAAAAGAATGGTCTGCTCTTGGCCTGTTGTGGTGCCAGTTGCCACTATGTGGCAGGCCAGGCCACATGGGAGGCCATGTTCAATTCTCAGCCTACCCTAAAAGGTCGGGCATCTTAGTGCACACGTGTAGTCCAGCTAGTCAGGAGACTGAGGAAGGAAAATTACAACATACTAAGACCTGTCTTAAAAAAAAAGAAAAAAGAATACTGTTGTCTTTTACGTTCCCAGAGAAGGAAGGGACAATAGAGTCACAGGCCTGGATGTAGGTGAAAGGCAACGCCACTTAGGCTGATGCCAGGGTCCTGTCTCAGGGCCAGGGTGGGGTGAGTTTTAAGCTCTCCGGCAGAAATCGTTTACCAAGCATCTTTGTTAACTTGCTTCAGTTTTTCATACTGCCCCTGATTTCCCATCAGATTCCTTTTCTGTAATGTGTGTTGTATCTCCCCCTCCCCTTGTTTTCAGGAAAGACATTAGAAGAAGCTGCTAACCTATCACTGGGCTACATGAAGTCAAGGCTCAAAGGTTTAGGTGGCCTCATCCTGCTCAACAAAACAGGAGACTGGGTGGTCAAGTGGACCTCAGCTGCCATGCCCTGGGCGGCCGCAAAGGACGGCAAGCTGCATTCTGGGATTAACCTTGATGAAACCACAATCGCGGACCTCCCCTGAGCCCCTGGAAGATTGTATTCTAGAGGCTAGCTTGGAGGTAAAGTGCAGTTTCCCGGTGTGGAGACGTAGCCTAATCAATTAGATCTAGAGATGGAAAAATTACGCAGTCTGTCACTCATTTTGTTGCCTCGATCAATAAGTATCTGAATGTTTGGTTGAGGGGCGGATTTTTGAAGTGATGAGAGAAACGCCCATGTTAAAATTAAAATAAGACTAGCGAAGATGACCAACTCTAGGGAACCTTTCTCCTACCCAGTCCTCATCAGGTCTGCTTAGACGGACCCACCTCTGGGCAGGAAGTGCCTTTTGGAATTGGGAGCCAGCAGGCAAAAGAATGAAAATCCTTCCTCTAGGGGAGGGTACACTGATTTCCTCTGGAAAAGGTCCGACCTCTTACTTACTAATGTAGACATGCCTCCAAAGACTTTGAAAGCACAGTTTTTAGCCTATAGCTCCCTGACCTGGAGATAGAGGGTCATGGTGGGGACTCCATGAGGTTCCTTGGAAGTCTGAGGGTTTTCTTGGGTTCATGTGAGCCAGCATGGCTCATCAGAGCCAGCCTCCACCTCTGGCCTCACCTAGTGAGTAACGGGGCTTGCACCCTCTCCAGCGATGGGGAATGGCTGACTGAGGCAGAGATGGCCTGACCATGTCCTAGGGAGTTCTCATACTGCCTTCCCCCCCACGCCCCCTCCACTGAGTTAGGTGCTGGGCAGTGAGGTCAGCGTGGTAAAGAAAGCAGTCACCATGGTGGAGAGTTTTCCTAATCATCTCTCGTTGCACTGGCAATGGTATTTCTGCTGTGACATAGCTGCTCGATTTTTGAGTCTGTCAGGGCTTACCTTCTTTCTGGAAAGAAATTGCTTAACTTTAAATTCCATGTGCCACTAATAAAATGTATTTTGAAAGAATACGAGTGTGGTTAGGAGTCACTGTTGACAAAGACCAGAATGTCTACCAACTCTCTGCTTGGTCTCTCCATTCAGACAAGTATATTAGGTAAAGAAGCCTTTTGAGGTAAGAGCAGGGTGGGGGTGATAGCATGTCCCGCCTCGTAGGGTATATACTCAGAAGTTTTTCAGAAGGTTGAACGTTTAGGAATGTGTTAAAGAAGAAACCAAGCCACCATTTGTAGGGTTTATAGAGATCTTCTTGCAGTTTGACAATATTCACCTCAGACCCAGCACTGTCCTAAGACCTGCCCTGGGCCCCCATCAACTCTTCTGAGCTAAAAAGAAGGTGATATCTGGAAAAAAAAAAAGGTGATATCTGGAGGCAAAACTGAGTCAAATCCTGCTTCTCTCCCTCCCCATTGACCCTCGGCAAGTTAGCATTCAAGAATTTTTCATCAATAAAGTATATTTTTATGAGGATGACATGAAAATAAAAACTGCTTAACATTTTATCTCAAAGAACCTATGGACAAACTAAAAACTGTGGCCAACTCCAAGAGGAAGTTTATGTGTTCATGTCCTTGAAAACCTCAATATGTAGGGCTGGCACATGGCCTGGTGGTTAAGGTGCCAGACTTCCACATGGCAGACCGTGGTTCAAGTCCTGGACCTGGCAGCTCGCTTTCTCACTCCCCCCACAACCCACCCCGTCTCTCTCACTGGTCAAATTGAATCAATGAATGAATGAGTGAATAAATATTTTTAAAAAGAGTTCTTAAAAAAAAAAAAAAAAAAGAAAAGAAAACCTCAATATACAACAGCTATCCCTGTCAATAGTACATTGTTAGCAGTTGCATTTATTTGTTAGGGTTACCACAACAGAAGTCCACACCTAAGTGACTTACCCAGCAGAAATATATTTTCTCAGTTCTGGAGGCCCTGGGTCCAAAAGAAGGTATCAGTGGGTTTGCTGTCTGCTGAGGCATCTCACCTTGGCCTGTAGGTGGCCATCTTCTCACTGTGTCCTCACAGGTACCTGCACATGCCCGGTGTCTCTGTATGTCCTCGTCCTTACATCCTGTTCTTATAAGGACACCAGCTACTTTGGATTCAGTCCTGCCTTTTAACTTAACCCCCCTTGAAAGCCCTAGCTCCATTTTCTTTTTTTCAAGTTTTTGCCATAGGGCACATGCACTCACCAGAGAGAGACAGAAGACAGAAGGAAAGCAAGAAGTGGGAAATCTTTCCCTTGGGGGATGGCCATGCACCAGTCCCTTCTCCTGCATTCTCCTCTCAGGATTTTAGGCACTCATGGACATGCACCCGGGGTGACTTTCAAGCTGTTATATCCAAGGCTCAAGCCGTGGTCAGCCATGCGGGAGTCCAGTACTTGAACCATCATGCCACTTTCTAGCCCCAAAGTCTCCATCTCCTAGTAGGAGAGTCACATTCCAAGGACCTGGGGAATTTGGATTTCAATGTGTGAATTTGGGAGAGGATAACACTGAGCCTGGAACAGGATGCCTAGCAGAAGCATGGTAAGGGTTGAACAGGGAAACCACCCCTTGGAGAAGACAGAAATCACTAAGTAAATAAGAAGGAAGAAAGAGAAGGAGGCAGAAAAAGGGCATTGAGAGATCTGGTTTTGAGCTTAATGCCCCCCACCCCAGCACAAGGAAAGTGACACCAGTTAGTCACGACTGCTAGTGACTCTGCAGTGGCCTCTTTGGCTCTTCAATCCAGTACTGGAGGACGGGGTCGTTAGCTCTGTGCAAAGCCAAGATGGGTATTTTTCTCCTCAGTCCTCGGTTCTATACAAAGCCAACCCTACTAGCCTGGGTGTTCCATAAGTGAAGACCACCTATGGTTCTTGGTTTTGCCCCATATATTGTCCAGTGGCCTGCTCGTAACTGCTTGTTTAAGAAGTAAATGGGGTTCCAGCAGTTAGCGTAATGGCTATGTTGCTGGACTCCCGTGTAGTCAACCCTGGTTTGAGTCCTGGACCCGGTGGCTTAAACTCATGCCGGGCACGTGTGCATGTGTGCCCAAGATCCTGAGAGGAGAATGGAAGAGAAAGGATTGCAGCATGGCCATCTCCTCTGGGGGGTATTTCTCGCTTTCTATCTCTCTGTCTCTCTCTGTCTTTCTGGCAAGCACACGCACCCAATAAGAAAAATCCTCTCCAAAAAAAAAAAAAAAGAAGAAGAATTAAATGGCAAGATACTATTTGTAATTTTTAAAATTTTGTTACGGAGCATGTACCTGCCAGAGAGAGGGAGGGAGAGAGTGAGAGAGCACCTCGCAGGGAGATATCCACACTGCAGTCAGTCCCTTCTCTATTCTCCTCTCAGGATTTGAGGCATATACGTATAGCACATATACCTGGCATGTTTTTTAAGTCACTAGGTCTGGAACTCAAACCAAGGAGTTGCCCATGTGGGATCCAGCCGCCCTAACTACCACACCCTAGGAACTGTCCCCAGTGAGATTAAAAAAGAAAAAGGAAAAGAAAAATTCCAATCTGAATGAGGATCCCTTTATCACGGCGTGCCACAAGAGGGCAGCAGAGTATAAACTGTCCCACGTTTTCAGCAGCCTCAAGGGGAGGTCATTTATCTTTTTTTTTTTCCTGAGAGATTTTTGCTATAGGGAGAGTGCGCTCACCAGAAAGCGAGAGACAGAGACAGAAAGCGAGAACTCACCCACCAGGGGGGATGGCCATGTCACAATCCCTTCTCCATTCGCCTCTGGGGATCTTGGGCACACACACACACACACGGGCCCAGTGTGAGTTTTAAGCCACCGGGTCCAGGACTCGAACCGCAGTCGGCTGCATGGGAGTTCAGCGACATAGCCATTACGCCAACTGCTGGTCCCAAGGGGAGGTCATTTATCTTGACTCTGGATCAGAACAGTGTACTGAGAAAATTGGGAACCAAAAGAAGGGTCCTGTCCCTGACCTTCATTTTCCTCTAAATACCCCCAATCGGTAGAAAATTTTCCAAAACACAAACCCTAGGAAATTCTCTGCAGATCGACGATTGAAGACTGCTCCGCAATGAGCCTGCCACAGGTGCCGGGATCCCAGGTGAACAAGGCCAGGCAGCTCAATCCCCGCCGCAGCCGGGAGACCAATGCTTTGTAACTGGTCTATATCCACCAGAATGGTGGGTAATAAGGAGCACAAGAGGGGCCCAGGCCAAAGGCAGTGTCCCCTTAAGCAGGAGCTGGTGGAGTCAGCCCCCTCTTTTTCAACAGAAGAAAGTCCTGGGGAAGGAAAAGCCTTAACCATAGTAAATGTGTTTCTTTTTGGTTTTTGTTTGTTTTTTCAAATAACGTCCTTTCTACATGGTTTCCTTCTAGCGTGAGAGATTATAAACTCTTGAGTGCAAAAGGAAGGTGGAAGGGGGTGCACTTCAATCCTCTTCACTGTCCCTATCATCACACAAGGAGAGGTGTGGGGCCAGGCAGTGGCACAGCAGTAGCACGACCGGACCCGTGTAGGAAGGTCCGGGGTTCACGTACTGTGACCTCCCTGCGCACACCAGGCTGGAACCAGGGCTGGATCACCACAGGAAGACCCTGTTGGGGGGTGCCTGTCGCTCTTTCTCTCCATCCCCCACTTAAGGAAATATATAAACTAGAGAGAAAAGAAGGAAGGAAAGAAAGCAGAAGAAAGAAAAAAGGAGGGTTTAGGGGCAGCTGGTGGGGACCCTGCCATTCTCCCAGCCCCTCATTTTCTCAGTTCTAGTCCTCCCAACAGTCTCCATGTTCACACAAAACAATCACTGAATTCACATTTTGTAGCTCTTCTGAGGAAATACAGAAGTGCCCAAAAGAGCTTGTCCAGCTAAGGAAAGTGCGGTGTCCTCTCCTCGCCGCACAGGAGCAGGCGTGACCCAGAAAGGAATGGGGGCCAGGAGAGGACAGTGACAAAACCAGGTCTAGGAATGGGGCTGGCAGGGAGTGTGGGCCTAGAACCGGGTCAGGCAGGGTGGAGGTGGTGGAGCAGGTGCAACTAGAGGCTCCGGCCACCGCATGGGGAAGCAGCCGTTCCACCTTACCCACCCCGCATGTCCGCCCACCCTCAAGGAGCCGACCAGAGCTGGGTACAAACAGAGCACGTTTTCTGCGGGGTCAGGAATGTGCAAGGGGCGGATTGAGGATGGCTGCGTCTGTCAAAAGATGCAAAAACAAGGCCCAGAGAAACTGGAGTTCCCCAGGGCACTCATTCCACTCAGGTTAAACTGAGGTTTACCTCAGCCTCCCTATTCCCAAGTCCCACAGCTCTTACCGCTGACACGGCCGTCCTTGTTACACCATCCTGCCAGCCAACACCCTGCTAGATCTAGGGACAGTCCCAGGAGCACGTCAGGTGACCAACAGCGAGACCAGCAATGTTGACAACTTTATCCTTCAAATTCTGGTTTTGGTTTTGGTTTTGGGTTTCGGGGTTTTTTTTCCCACCCTACTATTAAAATAAGGTTGGGTTTTCAAGGCAAGGTAGGGGTCAGTCATAGACTAGATAGATAGAGGAAACCAGCCTGGGAGTTTCAGAGTTTTTTAAATCATGGATCCATCCACAGATAACATGTTTTTTTTTTTTTTGGAGAGGTTTTTGCTATAGGGCGCGTGCGCTCACCAGAAAGACAGAGAGAGACAGAAAGCGAGAAATCACCCCCCAGGGGGGATGGTCACGCCGCAATCCCTTCTCCTTCATTCTCCTCTCGGGATCTGGGGCACGTGCGCACATGCGTTCCGTGTGAGTTTTAAGCCACCGGGTCCAGGACACGAACCGTGGTCGACTACGTGGGAGTCCAGCAACATAGCCATTACGCTAACTGCTGGTCCCAGTTAATTTTTTTTAATTGTATCCATTTTAGAGATGATTAAACAGATTTGGAGACCTTTAATGACTTGCCTGTCCCCAAAAGCAGGGTTTCCCCAGGGCCATACTTAATTTCACATGTTTGGAATTAAATCTGACAAATAGTAAGAACCCCCCAAAACTAAAAGTC